AATTTCAAAGAAACTTAAATGGGGGGTAAAAAGGGGTGCATAGCATGTTCACATGAAGCTTCATGAATTGTGGGGATTGTTGAAGCAATTTGGCCAATTGGTGATCTCTATCCATTCACTGAATTGCTGATTGCCTGAAAAAGGTGAAGCCACCATCCTCCATGCTGGTACTCCCCACTCCCACAGACACATGCAGTTAAAATGCCCACATGTGCAGCATTTGGCTGCAAAAACAAGCAGTTTGCCGGCTGTAGGAAGACGTTCCACAGGTAATTTCCCTGTCAGGGTCAATATGAGCATACATACCTACATGTATAGTTTTTTCAAATGATCAGATTCTTGTTGTAACTAAGAGCAAAAGCGAAATATGAACTTGATGCTGCCTGTTATTTTACCAATTGATGTGATTTTGTTAGTTTAGAAAATGAAGCTCTGTGGAGTTATTAAACTGGTTCATTGAATTAGCTCTATTGCAAATCTGTCAGATTTGAAGGCTAATGCAGAGACACAGCATAAAAGTACTTGGCATTTTGCATGCACAACTTGCAAATAGAAAGATACTATAGCATTAATAGACATGTACTTGTAATTCAGTTTTTATGTAAATTCTAAAAACTGAAGAAAAAAAAGTTTTTGTGCCACTGCCATCAACACCATTGTTTATAGATGTTGGAGATTGGCCTGTTTTTTTCCAGTGTAGTCCTGTTTCTCTAACTGTGACTGGCTGGATGTGCTCTCCTTATCCTGGCTGTGTGTTTCCTGGCCTGGGCCGCCTTTTACAGCTGCTATTTATATCTCTGCTTCTGTCTCCTCGAACCCCAGTCGGCCTCTCCGATGGCCGCTCACACTGAGCCTGGTTCTGCTAGAAGTTTCTTCCTTTTAAAAGGGAGTTTTTCCTCTCCACTGTCGCTACAAGCATGCTTAGTGTGAGGGATTGCCTTCCAGTCAATGAGTCGATGCAATCAACTGGTTTTCCTTAGATAGAAAACTTTAAATCAATTTGAGATGACGTGTTGTGAATTAGTACTATATAAATAAACTGAATTGAATTGAATGTAATTACCATAACAATGTATTTTACATGTACATAATCAATTTAGCACTTTTGGCAAATCTGTATCATTATGCTCCAGACTTTATAAGGACTATGCAATGAGATGTGCCTATTTTTTTATTATAAGTTAAAGTAATCTACTTATGAAATGAAACAGCCAGTGTTTGTCAAAGTGATGAATTTATCTTTATTTTTAAAATCTTAAGTCTCCATGAAAATGAGAACATCATCTTTGTTCGACGCTTCAGCGCATAGTGTTTACACTGCGACTCGTCAAACTAGGGAGTACCAATATGGCGGCTGGTGGCTTCACTTAAACCCCGTACTACCAACAATCCAGTAAATAAATAGAGATCAGAGGTTTCAATGCCTCTTGAAGCTTCATCTCACAACTCTGGGCAGATTTTGTTGGATTGTAGCGATTTGACATGTAATGTTTAATTAAGTTGTACTAAAGTGTGTTCATGTTCACACACTTAATATAACAATATAGTAATTTGGGCGGGTTGTTGTGTGATGTGGCGGTTTTTAAACCTTGACTCTATCTGGCAACACCTATCTCAAGTTAACTTCAATGTAAGATGGATTTTATGCAAGCTTTATTTTAGTGTTTTAAACCAACAGTAATTACTCTGCACAATTGTGCACTACTTTGTGTTCATCATATATTCCCAGTAAAACACTGAAATTATCAGTTGTAGTGTGAAAAATCTGAAAATGTGATTACCTGTGAGGGTACAGGCTGACCTGTCCTTTAATGGTGATATGCTGCCCTGGGCTTAGTCCGTTGAGTATACTGCCTTTGTAAGGAAGACCCTGAAACGAAGATGTTAACTGTAACAAAGTCGTTTTTTCTCCAAGTGCATTCAGGAGGTGTAATCTGTCGTTTTTACTGCATCTTAAGAAATTAGGAAAAATTCTGGTGCTAAGAATTGAAGAGGAAACTCACCAAATCACCTGATTCTGAATATATTGCCTAATGGAAAAAAAAAAAACAGGAGGTTTTTAGAAATGATTTAGAATTAAAAAAAAAAAAAAAAAAAAGGGAAAAGGTGTGAAAATTAGAAACAGAAATGTAATTACTGAGTTTGGGATGTAGCCAATAGCGTGGACCCTGACATTCCCAGAAATAGAAAAGGTGTCGACCCTGATCAGAGGAATTCTGTGTTTGTATTCCAGCAGGTGATTCCCATTTACTGCCACCTGCAGGGAAAGCCATAAACACAATAAGTTTCTGTTTGTAAAGGTGAAGGAAGGTCAGGTTGGTTCACCTTAAAACCATTCTTGTGCACTAGAATGATGGTCTCGAATGGGGCACCGCGTTTGTAGGGCAGCTGGTGGAGAGCTTCCTCTGTACCCCACTCCTCCTGAAGCAGGGAGTTGCACACCACACGGGGGGCGTCGCTGAAACGAGGGCTGAAGTGGAGGGCGACGTCCGAGCGGGGTTTGGTGCTGCAACCGCATGACAGCTCCACCTGAAACCTGCAGATGGTTCAATTAAAAACCTGGTCAGACGGATACAGACATTCAAAACTCATAAACTTTTATTGATCTCACATTGGAGAAATTTACCTCTGCATTTAACCCATCCCCTTGGGGAGCAGTGGGCTGCCATTGTGGGGCACCCGGAGAATTATCAGGGGTTAAGGGTCTTGCTCAGCGATCAGAGTGTCAGTCTATGGGAATGGGATTTGAACTGACAACCTCAGGATTCCCAGCACTAAACTCTAATTACTAGGCCACCACTCAACATATAAAAAAAAAAAAAACTGAGGCTCAGAGTTTTACTGTTTGTTTTAAAACAGCAAGCATTTAGCAACTACTGTTTTCTGCAGCTGCTGGTCCGTTTCTGGCATCAATAAAGAGACTCATTAGATTCGCCCACAGTTTGAACAATGCAAGAGAACACTAAAGAGCTAAAATGAGATCTGTGGATGTTTACACACTGGAAAAGTCCTTTATGGAGTATTTAGAAAACTGAAAATAGTCATAAAAACAACAGAATTAACGGCCCATTATATTTTCTATTCTACATGTAATGAATCGATATGTGTTTGATTTACAGGAAATCCATATCTGCAATTAATTCAAAACAAATAGATCACAAAAGCCCAAAAAATATGATCATAATCAAAGATGAAGCATGTAAACATTAACTCTTTATAGGCCACTCAGTTAAATGCTTTGAAAATCATAATTTCAAGCCAATAGTGTTATTGGAATCCAGGACAAGACCTTATTACCTTTGTAACATTCAAAATATGGATATATTGATGGCAAAAATGAATGTCAATGTAAAAACAAGAAATGCCAACTTGCCCGTATATATTAAGTAAAATAACAAAAGTGCTTCTATAAGAAATTAATAAAAAATGTGAAAGAAACAATTTTTTTTTTTTTTTGGTACAACATAACCTTAGAGGTATTAATGCTGATACTGGCACTTTTTTTTTTTTGTTTATACACCTAGATATAATAGTTTACAAGGCTTGTTAACTTTTTAACTTTTCAATTAACTTTAAACTTTTTTTCTTGACTTGTTAACTTAATTAACAGTAGGTAATATATTATCCAAGGGCTCATCTAATTGGTCAAATGCCAAAATAAGATGTGCAGCCATGTAGCAGTATCTATGCTGAATGGCTGGAGATAGATCTTGTGCTTCTAGACTTTACTCAGGGACAGGTGGCTCCAAGGGGTATGCAAGCGACCAAAAACTGTAACTTGCCCTATAAAGGGTTAAGAGCATCCTTTAAAGCTGGAATCTCTTATGGTTAAAATGTGAAGTAATTACTTAGGGTTATTACCATTTTCCTTGCAATCAAATACTGAAGAGTGATACATTTTAGCCAATTGAATGTCCATAAATTAAGTGTGCATAAAATAGGAATTTACTTATTACAATAGAAACAGCAGGAGGAATTATAAATTCATAGCTCAAATTTTCTGTTAATTCAAGTTTCTTCAATATTTCTTTTAGTTCTGGTTGGTCTGTTGGCCACCACCACACCCCCACTCTTGACCAGATCTCATTTGTGATCCGGATCTTAATGGGTCTTTGCTGAATGAAGATTTAAAGAAAGAAAAATGTAATTTCTGTAGAGTTTTAAACATCTTGCATGAATGACCCTAAACAGATCTTTGACACATCAGGCAGACCTACAGGGTGATGAGGAGTCTCACCTGTCAGCATCTGGTGGCACAGCACCCTGGATGATGATGATCTCCCCTGGCTGCAGGCCTCCAGGTATGGGACCAGTGTATGGGATCACCTGAGGAGCAGGCTGAAGGTGAAACCTCTGCATGCACCTAAACTGACAGCATCACCTCTGCGCAACATCCCAGATCTAACACCCTGAGCGCAGGCAGATTATACATAGACTAAAGCAGCTGAGATTATAAATAGATTAAAGCAGCTGCGGCGCATCATGTGAGTCCACTCTTACCGGATCCAGAACAGTGTGCTTTGCGTTGGCCACAGACATCCTGACCCAATCGGCAGCGGCTGGCAGTGGGTGGTTTCTGCAGCAATCAGCGGCTGTTTTGGTCTCTGCTGCGCTACAAGCCGATGGCTCCAGCGGCCATATTTACTCCGAGCCGCGCATGCGCAAAGCCTACCACGTGACCAGAGGTAAACTTTTTGTTTTTTTTATTTAACAACAAATTATTTACATTTTTAAGTAGTAATCACTATGGAAGCCAGTTTCCGACCGCTGTAAAAAAAAAACAAATCTCATTATATTGAGTTACTATCTTATTATAATGAGATATATTTTTCAACGGGCGTCCATAACTCACCACATTTCTTTCTTACATAAAAAAAGAAAACAACATATATTATAAACTTAAATATTTCAAGGCAAAAGAGAAAAATGAATAAATTAAGTATTATTACAACCAATGGAAACATACAAAACTTAAGGTGACCAGAGGAAAACTACACACACTGGAAAGAAAAAAAACAACTAGAAATAAGTACACATTTCTTAAATTAAGTGTATTTAACCTTAATTTGAGAATATAAATGAGATAGTTTGCCAATGGAATTAATATTTTAAGCTTATTTTAAGGAAAAAAAAAGACCTAGATTTGGATTGTTTTTTTCCAGTACACGTGGGCGGTTCATTACAGGGGTCACCAGGGGCCAGTACACTGCAATCCTTCTGTTGATGCTGATAAATTTCAGATTAAATAAGAGGATTTTTGTTTGAAATAGGGCAAGGCATGTTTATTTTTATAGCACAATTCAGTTCAATACGGAAGCTGAGAGCGGTCGTGTCCCTCCGATACTTTTTCATGGTGGTTTTCTCGAATAAACAGGTTCATTCAGAATGATTTGACATTTAAATATGACCTCCCTCACTCAAGAGTGAGTCCATGTGTGGTTGAGTCAGAGACAAGACCATCAATATAAGGTGCTGCGGTTTCCCAGGCTACATCACTGCAGATAAAGCAGCGCTTCAGTCCTAATGCTTTATATACAGAGGTTCTGATAAATCACTGAATTAATCCAATTCAATTCAGTTTATTTATATAGTGCCAATTCAAAACACAAGTCAAAAAAGTTTTCAATCTAAAGAAAACCAGTTGATTGCATCAACTTATTGAGTCAAAGGCAATCTCTCACACTAAGCATGCGTGTAGCGACAGCGGAGAGGAAAACTCCCTTTTAACAGGAAGAAACCTCCAGCAGAACCAGGCTCAGTGTGAGCGGCCATCTGCCGAGGTCGACTGGGGTCAAAGGAGACAGAAGCAGAGATACAAGAGGTAACTGTAAAAGGCGGCCCCGTCCAGGAAACACACAGCCAGGCAGACGAGCTCCAATAAAGAGAACACATGCAGCCAGTCACAGTCGGAGAAACAGGACTACACTGAAAAACAGGCCGATCTCCAACATCTATAAAAAGAGGTGTTGATGGCAGCAGCTTAGCTGATATTTCTCTCCAGGATGGAGTCACAGCCAAACAGGAACAGACCAGATGAAGCTACTATGAGAAAAAGCAGTGAAAGCAGAACGTTAGAGATTGAACTAACAGATTCTGCAGAGCGGGAAAATAGAGATAGAATGAAGCAGAATGATGAAAAAGGGGTAACTATGTCCAGACCACGCTATATCCAGTGGAGGAAAGTAATAAAGTACATTTACTTGATTACTGTACTTAAGTACGTTTTTGAGTATTTTTACTTTACTTAATTTTTTTTTGGTGGGGTACTTATAACTTTCACTCCACTACATTTCAAAG